TTGGGTATGTGTATGCAGCATGCACAGGCAATGACATTCAAGTCTGTGTATGAAACAGCTTTACAGCCCAAAGAGAAGAGCTGAAAAAAAATAAAAAGAAAAAATCTGTTAAATTCCATTCTGCCACCTCTCCTTTGTGAGGGACCTGAAGGATTTGCTAAGGTATTGGTGGACATCAATCCAAATATCCAAGTGGCAACCCACAGCCTCCCTCAGGAAGTCATAAGCAAATGTTGCTTACATGATGGAAATTTCCTGCTTGTCACATAGCCTCATCTTCAACACGTTCAACACATTATCTTTGTGCTAACTTACATATTTCTCTCAATGACATATTCTAATCTTCAGGCTCACAGCTCTGCAAATATTTGCCACCAGGCAGCATATCCCATCCTTGGAGACACTCAGCATCAGGCTGGATGGGGCTCTGAGCACCTGATCAGCTGTAGGTGTCCCTTTTCAGTGCTTGGGGTTGGACCAGAAGGCCTTTAAGGCTCCCTTCCACTCAAACAATTCTTTGATGCTATGATCTCCCCACTCTGACCATTCTTAGCCAAACTCTTTACATACAGCTCCTTCCATCTTGCCTCAAAAATCATTTCCTTCATCCCTTCTTTGCTTCTGCCTTCCTCTTCAGGGGCTTTTGAGGTTATGGCAGGGTGATCACAATCTCACCTCACAGCAACATGCTGCGCATCGATCTGGGCTGACTGGTGTTTGTCACCCAAGAGCTAAAATGAGCTGCTACTGGAATTTAGGGTGGATAATCAAAATGCTCCAGGTGTTTGATTTGGGTGCATGAAAAGACAGAGTTGCAGTCCAGAGCACTTGGTCTTGCTGTCTGCCTCTTGCTCTGACCCCTGGACATCCCTCAGGCACCATCCTACATACAGGGCACATCAGCAGATCCTCCATCACCAGCAGAGCTGTCTCTAATGAAACCTGGAAAGCAGCTGCAGCCATTGCTGCCATTCATCCCCAACCTCCTCCAAGCCCTGCTTTGAAACCTACAGCAGACGGCCCTGCATCAGAGGTCTCAATTACATGGTAACTGGTGACCCCATAAGTACAGGGTAATCTGCTGTGTAACACCACAGAAAATTATCCTGGTACTTCTCTTTTCCACCACAGTCTCCTGCAGAGATGGAAATACAACTGGTCAAAGGGTAATTAATTTCTGAGGTTCACCCAGGCCAATGAGGAGCAACCTGCAAGAGGTCATGGGCTCTGTGCAGGGCATGGGACCTCTCAGTAGCCACCCATCACAATATCACCTCACCCTGCAGTCACCCTGTCAATGGCACCAATGCTTTCCTCTGAATCCATCAGAATTAGCTATGCACAGTTCCAGGCATTCACATATCACAGCTCCAGAAGAATCAACACAGAGCTCTGCACTCCTGCTCCCCATCACAGGATGCTCCGCTCAGCTGCTGCTGCTGGAGGCTGGAAACTGCCTACTGACCCCTGGGATCTTTATGGCAATGGCATATATTTGCATACACTCTAGACCTGCTGACATCTTTCCCACTGAAGAGCTTCAGGCTTTTATAGCAGCCACGGCAATGATTTCCAGATTATAGGCTAATAAAATACATTAATTCGTTAGGAGCATCGAGGTGGGCAATGCACAATTCTTATGACATTTAAATATTGATTGGGGGGGGGGGGGGGGGAGGGAAGGCTTTGAGTGGATTTCTTTACCAAACAGGAGCACTGAAATAGAATGCCAAAATCCCGTGCTGGTACCCAGATCAGCTCTGACACCTCCCACCCATGCCTGTTTCACTTGAATACCTGCCAAGTTAAATAAGCAAATGTGGTTTTGTCAAGTGAGACCTCCTCCTGAGCAGCTCCAGCAGTTTATGCTCCATCCAAGCTTGGATGGCTCTTCGTGTGCCATTGCTCTCTGTTGTCTGGGTCAGAGCTAATGAGTGCTGATGCTTTGGAGTGAACAAGAGCGCACCGACTGAAGCAGGGGCATCTGAGAGGACAGACGCCTCTACTGCCTTTGCAGCTCCATGGGTGGAATTTTATTCTGGCTTTTGTCACGCTTTCTGTGTGCCCTTGGGCAGTGCAGCTGATAGCTCTGTGCTTCCCTTCCTAACCTGTAAAACAGGGCATTGCAGTTTGCTGGCTTCTCAAAGGTGCTGTGCAGGTAATGGCTTGTACAATAAAGCAATAAGTGGCATGAAGAAGCCTGCCAAGAAGGGGAAAAAAAGACAAATGTTTAGCTCAGGTTTAGTTATGCTTTGTAAAGGAGACAGAGGGTTACACAATGAATATTACAGAGAAGAACAGAAAGAAGTTCTTTCGTTCTACGAGCATTTCTGCCTTGTACCTTCACCAGATCGTACAAGATTAATGGCAGGTGATGATGTAAAGTGTGTCCTACACGGCAGAGACACAAAGTGTGAGCTAAGGCTCCGCTGTTGTCATTACCTGACCTTGCATGTTCCCTTTTGCAGCTTCAGCATTTCTTGTGGATAGTATTTCTGGGCAGTTATTTTAAGAAAACTGTGTTAAATTTCTTGCTCCTGTGCCAGGTACCTGCTGTTCAGTGAACAGGCCATGACTAAGCATAGGCTGGAAATTAGAAGGATCTACAAGTTAAAGCAATGAGATTCTGGGGCTGTTTTCCCTGCGGAGCGCATTTAATAGTGGCACTTGATTATGAAAAAGATAAATCTGAAGTGATTGATGCAACGGGGGATTGGATTTGATGATCCAGGGAATCCCTTCCAGTCCTCTCTGCTCTTAATGAATTTATTTTCTAAGGGTGGCAGAAAACAGCAGAACATACAGATGCCTGCTGATGGCAGGTGGGTCTCCAACCCCAAATGTGACCACTTCCCATCACCAAGAAGGGGAAAAAGAGCCCTCTCCAGGTTCTGACTACCCTGAATGAAACAAAAAGAGGTGGATGCCAGGATCCTATCGACTGAGGACTTCTAACATTAACTTGCTTCAAACCAGCACAGCAAACATCCCAGCGTTCAGGTTCCCTACGTATTACCACTGTACTTACCTGTCTCCCAACACCATAACAACTGTGTTCCTTAAAACCTTTGCCATCTTTTTTTTTTTTTTTTTTTTCTTAAGTACATATCTCCTGGGTGAAGATGAGATCACTTTTTTTAAGAGTAGGAAACAGACACGCCGAATTTTCTATGGTTACAGGATATTGATACAACCCACAGCCCAGACCAAGGCTGGAATGTCACTTCCTTCCCATGCACCTGAGGCCTCCCTTCTCAAACAGGAATAGAAGAGCAGAAAGTGTTTTTCAACAGAAGTTGTTCTGCAGCCTGGAATTTCCACCCTCTATCAAGCCAAAGGACTTGAGCCTGAAGCATCAGTGCAAGGCTGTTTCAGAAGGGATGCAGAAGACAAGTGGTTATGTTCCTTTTCCCCCTTGAACAGTTATAATTTTTAATTGCCGTTTGCTAATAAGTTAAAATGGTGTGATTTCTACAGGATCAAATGGTGCACAACAAGCTAAGGGAGTTTATTAATTAGCATGCATTCAAGGCTGGGAGAAAGTAATAAAAGCAACATAGCTGTAGATGATAGCTATAAATATGACATAAGCATGACCTGCTGTGACATTTTAGCCAAGGGGAAGCTGTCGTATTAATACTGGTCATGCAACTCTGATAGGGGGGAGAAATCTGCAAAACGTGGCTGTTTACAGGCTTGTGCTGCACAGCTCTAGGGCCTGATCCTGTAAGTAAAGGAGGTACAGCACTTCTGGGTGTCTTTGCCCCAGGTTCCCCTAGGCATCGCTCACACAATGAGTGCGAAGTCCAGTGGTAAGTGGCTGCAGGATCAGATTTGCAGTGTGCTAAGCATTTTGGATGAAAAGAGCTATAAAGAAGTCACATATTATTATGTCGCATTGCAAAGGTCAACTCTGATATTTGTTCTGTCATAAGAACATGATTGAAAGGCAAAAAAAAGAAAAAAAAAATAGTGTCAGGGCACAGAGGGAAATCATTTTTTAAAAACTGCCTTCCGGGCTGAGGATACAAAATTACATCAGAGCGTAGAACTAAATTCCCATCCACACCCTGCAATTCAATTTTGCTTTAGAAAGGGATAAATGTAACAAAAAAAATAAAATAAAATAAAAAAATCACCTTTTGGTGGCACATCTTCTTACCCACTGACATGTCCCCTGTAAAATCAGTGATAACTAAACTCGCACCCTGGCACCATTACAGCAGAGCCCTGCTCTGGCACAGGGAAGACATTGAGAAGTAACGTGGGGAACCATCTCATCACACTCTGCAGTGTCTTTGAGTGCATTAGCTCAATTCCAAACAGATTCAGCCACCACCTTGGCCAACCCAAGTTCCTCTGGCAGAACCCAACTCAGAACTCTGTACACCAGTTGAGGGAGGAGAGTGGTGGGACAGGGATGCTTTCAGTCCACTCAGTCACAGCTCCAAGCTGCAGATTGCTGTGTCTAGACTAGCAAATAAAAAGCACTCAGGCTGGTAATGAAACGGTCCAGCTGTTTAAATGGACAGGTTTTGGGTCATGTCAATTCAACAGCATCCAAGCTATTGATGAGGGAACATGTGAGCAGAGGTGACGGGTCAGCGTTGGACTAGATGATCTTAGTGGTCTTTTCCAACCTTATTGAGTCTATGAGTCAATAACTCCTACTGGGTGGAGCAAACACCATCCTGCTCAGAGCAGGAGAGGTTTAGCTGCACAGAGATAAAGAAGAGGACATCCCAAACTGTTCACTAGTGCAGACACAGCCTGAACACCCATGGAGGAGGGTTGCACTGAGGACTCTTGCATTCATCCCACATTCCCTCTCCATACAGCCAAGCTCTGGAGAGCTGCTGCAGGAGAGAAGCGTGAGCAGCTCCCCTTGCAAACGAGAGCCCCTGGGCTGCCAAACACACTGGACCCAACCTAGTCCCAAAGCCCCACATGTCATTCCATGCCCCAGTGGCACAGGCCCCCACAGGTCAGGATCCACTCACTGTTGCAGCTGCCGGCGGTGCCAGTCTGTGTCGCTGCCACGCTGCGCTGAGCTGGCCCTTCGGACGCGGCCCTTCCTGACAGTGAATGGGTGAAAACAAGGGAAGGAGACAAACAAAAAGAGAAGGGGAGGGTGAGAGAGGGAGGGAGGGATGGGGGTGATGAAGCGAGGGGACAAGAAGGGAAAGGGTATGTCTTTAACTGAACCATATGCCTTCCACTGGCTGCAACACCCCAATGCTCCGCAACGCTACGAGGGTGTGGGATGGGTGAGATCCCATGGCTGTGCCAGCTGCATCCCACACTGTCACCTGCATCAGTGCAGAGGGAGGGTAAGGGACGAGTGCTGAAGCTGAGCAAGAGCCAAGTGAGGCTCTGGCTTCCTCAGACATCTCCCCGCCAGCCAAGCCCCATTTCCTGGTGGTCCTGAGTATCTTTTCCACAGCCAGAAGAGCTGGAGAAGTTTTAGGAGGCATTAGTGGTTCCTGTGGAACTACTACTTCAGCATCTGGTTCCTTATCCATCACCAGTCATGGCGCAATGACCTGTCCAACTCAGCCTGCAGAAAAATCCCAAGCCTGATGTCTTAAGTAGCCAAGCAAGAGAGCATCTCTAGCCCAACATCCCAATGAAGCACCTGGTACATCATTCTACTCTTCTCCAAAAGTCTTTGTCCCATTGGTACTGCTGGAGATTGGGAGAAGAAGAAAGGGCCTCATCCCACATCTTCCAATCACCCACAAAACTGCCAGCTGAACCCTAGGAATGGATAAGGAAAGTGGAAAACACAGCTCTACATTTTCTGTGTATCAGTGCAGGAAGATCTGGGGAATGGGAGGGAAGAGAAGGGTTAGGGATCTCAGTGCACAAATTAAAAGTGAATGACTAGCAGAAGGTCTCCTGGTTTTTTAGTCAGATCTTTGTGTTCCCACCAGGACAAAAAGGAAACAAAATCCTAAGATGAAAGCACAGTGGTCTGAGGGGAGACTTCTGGCTGCAGTCCTTAGAAGCTCAGGCTGACGGCTGCCCAGGGAAAACCAAAAATACGGGCTTAGGGTGTGCCTGGCTAGTCATCACCCCGGGTGCCTTCCCACCCTTCTCCAGAGGTGAAAATTGAGCTGCTAAATGTAGCTGACAGCTCTTTATGCTTAGGGAATTGCCCCGTGACTGACTGATTCGCCTCCCTCCCCGAGAAGTTGAGGTAGGAAATGGGTGGGGGGAAAAGCCTAGCAAATTGTTTCATGATGGTTGTTTAAATTGCCTCTGCATTATGGCATTACAGTTGGGGGGGGGGGGGAAGAAAGATCTCTCGCATAAATCCACATCCTAAAGCCAGCTGTGGCAGAGGCATGGACACTGGGAGGAAGCAGAGCAGATGAAGTCATCAGCAGTGGGAAAAAAACATCAATATAATATAGTGCAGAACAAAGCAAATTCTACCTCAAACACAGAGCTGAAAGAGAAACATCTTCCCCTGTCAGGTCTATTACCACGCACTTATTCCAATAACAAATAACTAACCCAGAAGTAACCCAAACCTGATTTATTCCTCCGTCTAAATAAATATGAAGAGGCAGCCGAATCTGACTCTAAAAACCACTGATCTCATATGTTTTTCTTCTATGTATTGGAAAAATTAGGAGTGGAGTTTCTGCTTTGCTGCCAGGGGATGCTGGCAAAGCATTTGAGCTATAGATATTGTATCTTGTCACTAATGACTGCAGGGAACTAAAAGGGATTTGGATTTTTTTTTTTTTAAAGCTTCACATTAATTGATGATTTGGTCCCACAATCCACAGTGGAACACAGGATTTACTATATTGGATCAGTCTAGTGGCCCATCAAATCTGGCGTCTTGCCTCAGTGATGCTCAGAAAAATTATCATCTGTTGTCTTTGCTTGTAAGGTTGCTGGCTGTTTCTGTAAGGCCATATAACTGCAACAGATGAAAGGCCTTGCAGGTCGTTTTAAGGCCCTGAAACATGGGTTTGGCTGGGTTTGTAATAATTCCTGTGTCACATCTTTTCTCTTTTAAAGCAAGGAAGAAACTGATGGTAAACATTTCCAACAGACACGCTGCTGCTTTTCCTCTTGGTCACCACAGCTTGGAGAAGGTGAACTTGTGTTTTCATTTATTTGCCCTCTGAAAACACAACTGGGGCCAAGAGGAGGGTGAGATGCCTTGTACTGAGCAGAACAATATTGATTAGGCAATATAAAGATTTCACTCACTAATTCCTTTAGCAATCTTATCATGTGTTGCCTGCATAATTGAATGGGAAAGAGAGAGGTGGAATCACTTAAGCGTTCAAAGCTCAACACACACCAAGAAGAGATTCCTGTTTTGTGTGTGTGCAATTTTGTGCATCGTTGCCCCTTGATTGTACATTGAACATGCTCTCTTTGACAGCCTAGTTCTAAGCAGCCTGTTTATTAAAGACAGCTGCTTACAAACAGGGGCTTTCTCCATCCAGCTGGCAAGGAGAAGGAGCTCTCTGTGACTGAGAGGCTGGACTATGGAACAGGGAGGGAACAGGGGTAGAAGCCCATGGGAGTCCTGACCATGCAGGAATCAAGGAGAAAAAGAAATGTTTTCCTTCCATGTAAATAACTTAATTAAGGAGTCTTCAGTTTGCCTTGAAGTGCAGCCTGCCACACTGGGGAAAACCTTTACATCTTCCTTGCTTGAAAAGCCACTACTTCACATGATACATTGAGGAGAATAAATAAATAAAAAGCATGCCAAAACATAATTTATCCATACTCCCACTAAACTAGCCTATAACTTCTTTACCTCCAGTCCTCTCACTGATTGCACTGAGCATTGGGGCTGCTCCCCACCTCTCCCAACTAGTTTGTGATCTCATGGCCGCCCCAGTGCAAGGAGAGCTGGGCCGTAGTCCTGCAGGTGGGAAGGCAGGAGAAGGCCACTGAACAGCTGGGAAGCAACAGGGAAATGGGTCCAACAACATGAACAAGAGAAGATAAGTCTCCCTTAGATGGATACTTCTTCCAGAGTGCAAACTGTTCTTTTTAGTATGTCCAAAAATCATGGTTACTGGTGCACCTGGGGCTAGAATAATGCAGCTTGCTGGCATTTGGTTCTCCACCTTCTGCTCTCACTTACACCTTAGTAAAGCCCAGGAACAGTCACCTCTTGAGGACTGCCCCATACAAAACCTTCCCTTGTTTCTGGTGGCACCCCAGAGGAACATATTCTGGCTAGATTTCCATCAAGGGAGACTGTCTAGCTTTTTTCTGTTTATCACAGTTTTTCAGCCAATTTTCTGAACGTGAGTAGGAACAGCAAGAAGAATGGAAAACGTTACAAGCAAGAAATAGGTGGATATTTACTCTTGGATGGGTGTACTATATGGGTGGGTCTTTTTGGTAACTCTGCTGGGCCAGGCTCTGATCTGCCTGGAGACATCCCTGGTCATCGCAGAGAAGTTGGTCTAGACAGCTTTTAGAAGTCCCTTCCAACTCAATCATCTTATGATTCTACTACTCAAAAACAAACAAACAAAAAAACCTACTCAAGAATAGGTTAGTGTAATGCTATAACATGATGGAAGGTACAGCAATAATAGCAAGGTGACAAAGTCTTTGGCTACAGCAAACGAAGACAAGTCCAAATGCAGCAGCTACAGATGCAGAAACAAAAAAAATTTGCCTACCTTTAGAAGACCTCAGGTACACAAGGGATCTACTGCAAAATACCCTCATCTCCAATGCCAACCCTTAAATGAGGTCTGGGAAGGGGGTGGACCCTAATTCCAGCCCTTCTGGTCACTCAGGTGCACTTCGTTACATGCACCTGAGATCCCCTGGGTTGGCCCTGCCTTCCCACCAGGTGTTTAATCACTGGTTCAAGCTGTGACTTAGCATTTCTGCTACAGTCAGGTTGACGAGTTCTTTCTTTCACCTGTCTAGATCTGCTTGTTGTGTTTGATAGCCCCTAATACATTATTTTGCTTCCACAACTGTTCAATCCCTTTTTCAGTCCATCTCAACTGCTAGCACCTACCATGTCCTAGGACAAGGAGTTCCAGCGCTTTACTACCCACTGTAGTACCTCTGTTTGACACCATGAACACCAGCAGCTGTCTTAGATCAGGACATACAGAACAGTGAACCTCAGTTCAAAGCTCTGGAAGATGGACTGGGTTTGGATTGAAAGATCATACATTTGATTAGCTCTTAATGAGTGTGTGAAGGTTTAGGAGACACATGGAGAGGTTAAACATTTGGGTGAACACTAAGACTACATTAAATAAAATATCTGAGCCAAATGACTTGCAATGCAGCAGCAGTGTATCCCAGCCAGGAGAAGTGGTGAGGATGGAGGTCAAGTGCTGTGGCAGGGAGTTTTCCCAAAAACAAACTGCTCTTTTGTGTCTTTGCTTCAAAGAAGATGTCAGTAGATTCCAAGAGCTCTTTACCTGCCATATCCCTCTCATTACCGAAATGAGATAAATGGTAACAGCATGAAAACAGCCACTGAAGCAGGAGAAAGACAGGTTGACAGTGAGGAAAAGGGAGGGGGGGACAAGGTGCAGGCAGAGGGCTTGGCAGGGTGGAGAATGAGGGCAATTACCATTTCTGAGAAAATGCCAGAAATACAACACCACCTAATTTCCCCAATTAATTCCTCTGCACTTGAGCTGCTTTGTGTGAAGGGCTCTTCATGTTTCAAACAGGAAGAAGGGAGGGGTGGGGGAACAGAGACTCTTCAACATTTGTTTTTCCCTCAGCGTAGAAACGGGCAAGAGTTGAGGAAAAACGTCTGTCTAAAACACAAGATGATGTTGTTACATCTTCCTTCCAGGAGATAAGGAACTGTGCCACAAATTCAATTTGCAGAGGTTTTTATAGGAGCCACGGAGATGCCAGAGACCAGCACATTCAATACACACTGATTTTCCTGCACGCAGAGCAGACGACGATGAGCACAAAGACACTTTATCCCATGCCCCCACAGCAGAGCGGTTCCCTCACCTCCCCTCTTTCCAGTCTCACCGCTGCTTAAATGGAAATTGGCCCTTTTGCCCCCAAAATGTTAACTGGAGCAGCTGTA